ATCGCTGGAGGACCTAAGCACTATGCTCAATGACCTCAATAGTGTTTCCCAACGGATAGGTCTTAAGATGAACATGGACAAAATAAAGTACATGTTTAATGTCCATGTCATACCTATGCCGGTAGTTGTTAGGAGCACTAAGCTCGAAGTTGTTGACGAGTATGTTTACCTGGGACAAATAGTCTGACTAGGTAAGTCCAACTTCGACCGAGAGGTTAATCGACGGATTGAACTCGGTTGGGCAGCGTTCGGGAAATTACGGCACATCTTCTCGTCAGTTATACCTCAAAACTTGAAAACGAGACTGTACAACAAGTGCGTGTTGCCAGTGATGACATATGGAACTGAAACGTGGTCCTACACTGCTGGCCGGATGAGGAAGCTCAAGGACGCTCAGCGAGCTATGGAGAGGGCTATGGATGCAGGTGGCTCAGGACCGTGCTTTGTGGCATTCCTTGGGGGAGACCTATGTTCAGCAGTGGATTTGTTAAGGGCTGTAATGATGATGACGATGAAAAAGTAGCCATGGTAGTTCAGCTTTGCTCAGCTTAGCGCTTGCTGTAAATTTCACAGTACGCAAGCAACCAGGGTTCGACCCCCGCCGGTACCAATGAAATTGTTAATTTCAATTTGAAATGGTGATTTTCCACTTGCTCGGATAAGGAAAACATCGTGAGGAAACCTGCATGTCTGAGAAATGAAAAAATATTTCGAAGAATAGAATAGAATAGAATAATTTTTATTCAATATACATTACATGTGTAATTCTTATTGAAAGTCATTTTTTACTTTACCACTGGTTCGAAAAAAACCCTCTGTCCTGGGAAGAACCAGCAAGAAACCCAGCGGGACTTTTTTTTTAATAAATTTTACAATATAAATGATTACGAACTATTTACAAAATTTATTTTAGAAACTGCTTGGATGCAACCACCTCATTCCCAGGGGTTATTATCAACCATGTATTCATTTATACTATAATAACCCTTTTTATAGAGTTTCAGCGTAATAAAACATTTAAACTTGGTAATGGAGAGAACCTGTACACTTTCCGGGATTTGTTGTAATAGCGTATACATTGCCCCAAGAATGAATTACTGACTCTGTGGAGTCGAGAAACTGGCATCACTAGCTTGTGTTTGTTCCCAGTATTTACAGAATGTATATCACTTTTTTTACTAAAACTATCTTTGTTTTTGTGAACATAAATTAAATTTTCGTAAATATACTGAGAGGCCAAAGTTAATATACTTGTTTCTTTAAATTTATCTCTTAGAGACTCTCTCGGTTTTAGACTGTAAATAGCTCTAATGGCCCTCTTCTGTAAAACAAAAATAGTTTCTGAATCAGCCGCATTTCCCCATAGCAAAATACCATAAGACATTATGCTATTGAAATAACTGAAATAAACTAATCTAGCTGTCTCGACACTAATGAGACCTCTAATCTTTTTTACAGCATAGGCTGCAGAACTAAGTCTGCTTGCTAATTTAGATATATGGGGGCCCGTCTCAAGGTTTGCGTCGAGAGTGGTGCCAAGAAAAACAGTGGATTCAAACAGGGCTCAATTCCTCCCCATTTCATGACATGTGAAGTCCACCAACAATCATTGAGGCAGCGCGGCGGACATTTACTTGACATATAAATCAACTCAGAAATGAGAAGAGGTCCGTGCCAAGCAGTGGGACGTATACAGACTGTAACTGTACCTTTTCAAAAGGAAATATTAAAAACTTGTAATAATATTGGCTCTGTATCCTTTAGCCTGAATACAATAATGAGTGCACTAAAATTTTTGCTACTGCTATCGTGAATGTGCAAGTGCACTATATAATGATAAGGTCCGCTCGCATTTAACCAATTTTATCATTAGGTTAAATTCCTCATATTCGGAGAGACTCGTATCCAGCAATATATTTTGCATACCTTAAGCGAAAGCGCAATGTATGTTCTACTATCGCCTAAAAATTAGATATCAACGTTTTATCGAATAAAATCGTATCTAGTGATCATATTAAACATATAAATGATATAAAAAGCACATTGTTAGAAAGATAAATGATTGTTGAAGTTATTAATTTTTTTTAAATCGATTAATTGCTATTTTTAAATAAAAAAGGGGTTTTAGTGGCTTATGGTGTGGATTTATCATTTTCTCAAGGCTTGTAAACACAATAACTTTTGAAAATATCAATTGTTTAACTCAATCTATTTTTTAATCTCTTCATCTATCATGTGGGAAGCCACTGAATGTAAATTGCAGTGTAATTTTGTTTTGTTTAGCTATAATTAATATTTTTCGGCTCCAAAATGGCGAAATTTTCGTTGATTTGGTTGCCTTGTATGTAAATTATTTCTGTACATGGTGAGCTACAGCCACAGAGTAGTTTAGTTCGGCTTCAGTCACCGTCGTGAGTGGACATTGTTTCGGTTGTTTGTAGCGGCTAAAAAAGATGGCTGTACAAATACACAATATTCTAATAGGTAAACAAATTTCTTAAATACTTGATTATAATAATAATAAGAAATGTTTTTATTACAATATTTTAAAAGCACAGAATAAATAATAGTAGTACGTACTAAAAGTAAGTAGTATAATTTTTTTGTCATGGGTGACATTTTCATGGTTTTCGAGGGTGTTGAAACCGATAGGGTTGTCGAAATGTAAATCTAAAATTGCGGCTGCAATAGGTATATATTTTTTCATCATGGGTGTCATTTTCATGGTTTTCGAGGGTGTTGAAGCCGATAGTGCTGTCAAAATGTAAATCCAAGATGGCGGCTGAAGTAGGTACCAATTTTTTCATAATGGGTGTCATTTTCATGGTTTTCGAGGGTGTTGAAGCCGATAGTGCTGTCGAAATGTAAATCCAAGATGGCGGCTGCAATAGATATCAATTTTTTCATCATGGGTGTCATTTTAATGGTTTTCGAGGGTGCTGAAGCCGATAGTGCTGTCGAAATATAAATCCAAGGTGGCGGCTGCAATAGGTATAAATTTTTTCGTCATGGGTGTCATTTTCATGGTTTTCGAGGGTGTTGAAGCCGATAATGGTGTCGAAATGTAAATCCTAGATGGCGGATAAATTAAGTTTCAATTGTTTCATCTTGGGTGTCATTTTTATGGTTTTAGAGGGTGTTGAAGCCGGTAGTGCTATCGAAATGTATTTAAACTACTTTAAAAATTCCGTATAATCATGTTATACGTAATTTTTTTAATGCGCTTAAGGTATGCCCAATTGGATTTACCAATATATTTTACATACTGCCGCTGGTATTGATAAATGATATCTTTTTAACAATTTTTGGTAGCATAGTACTTTTAAAAATGAGATGATCGCTCGCTAAGAAATTGAGTATTATTTGTTTTTGTCCCCTGAATTGCCCCCTGCAAAGAATGCAGCTCACCTGATAGTAAGTGACTTCCACAGCCCATGAACAATTGTAAATGCTTTGCCAGATTTTTAAAACAGGGTAGGCTCACTACTTGAAGTTTCTTTAGTTTTCTTTGTCTATAATCGCTAGAGGTAGCTTATTCCGCAAAAAAGTTGTGTGTGGAAAAAGTTATGGTAAAACGATCAGTTGTGTACCGCCCATTATTCAGATGGTAGAGATGGTTGCGCGAGTTGTTGCGACGTGCGTTGGTGAAATTTAGGGAATGTTATTAGTCCGAACAATTCTTCTGAGCACTCCACATGGTACATGTGATAGAATATCCAAAAGGATTCTTCTCACTTCGCAGCGCCTGTGAGTCATGCCCATCAGAAAGAACTCTGTCTTCGAGGTCACCGCGGAACTGACCGTCATTCGATATGTCGACGCCAAGGATTTCGATGCTGACTGAAGCAACAAGGGGAGTGTCCAGAAATTTAGGATATACAACGACGGGTTTTTTAACTCGACTTGACTTAGTCGCCACAATTAGAGACTTTGTTTAACAAAGACTCGACTTCAGACACAAGTTTATTCAGGCACTTGACGACGTGTGCCTGAGAAATATTGACCAGTATCAGCATAAAGCATCGCCAGTTCTGTAACATGCATAACAATTATGTTACTGGTTCACAACATATCACTGTAATGCCGTGGGAACGGGTAGGCAGCCTTGTAGCATTGTGCATGCAATTTGACTAAAAATAAATTTTTAACTTTTTGCTTAAAAAATGCATAGTATGTTTAAATATATGCTATGAAATATATAAGAATCGGTATTTCACCCCATACAATTAGGAGAAGAGTTGCAGATATAAAAACCGTGGCACATAGCTCTCGCTTGTGTACATATAAACGATAAACATCGTGTTGGATGTCTTATTATTTTCCGCGCTCATGTGAAATAACCATTGAAATATTCTTCAGTGAAAAAGCAAACACTTTATATTGTGTGCTTAAACAAACCACATGCGAGAGAAAAACACTTGAATTTAAAATAATATACTGCTTATGTATTATCAAGTTTTATTTTTTGTTAATTGAAAACTTTAAAAAAAAGTAGTGTAATATAAGTTAAATAGACTAATTACAATGAGTTAATCCAATAATATCAGAATTCGAATTTAAAAGTTTATAAATTAACTCTAATATTTATATGACAATTTTTGAAACCACGGTAGTTCAATTTAAAACTATTGAAAACTTTAGTGTTTTCAAAAAAAGATTTTGTTAGAAATAGTTTTTTACAGTGCCACATTAATTTTAAGCAATAATAATGCTTGGTGACATAAATGCACATCGTTGTAATACGTGTATTATCATCATTATCACATATTTACATCAATATATAATATGTTAATATAACTTTGTATCTCGTAAAGGAAATGGGAACATAGCATTTAAAAAAATAAAAGACCCCGGAGTTTGCTGACGGTTCTTCCCTGAGGTCTTTTTGTCAAACGATACAGATTTGATATTACATACATTAGGATCTTCGATTTTCATATTAACTTTCAATAAGTGTAAAATACACGAAAGCTATTTAAATTGTACGTAGGTGTATTCACCTGTAAACAGGATTGTCGTCTCTATACCACACGACAATAAGAAGGCTGTCATTATACTGCGGCGGTCTTGAGTCGCAGGGAAGCTCCGCATCGCCGCCGACAACGGACGAAACCCGTGTCACTGTTCCTGTTACCGGTGTCAGTGAACTACCTGTGAACATGACATAAATTTATCGTACATTAGTGAAGGTTGTATTTCAATAAATGTTTTAAAGCTAAAAAATGATGTAAAATTCTGCAGTTACGAGTATATATGAAGCAGACAGCGCTGAATAATTCATCAAAACACGATAAAATGCGTTTGACACAAAATACCTTAACATACTTTGAAATTTGGAACAGAAAAGCTTAACAGAATTTATTTTTAGAGCATTTGCGTCTTTGCTGAATACTTTTTGCAATAGATCAAATAAAAATTAAAATTATGGAGTGATAATCCTAAAGTTGACGTATTTTTATATAAGACGTGAAACATTACACAAGCCGGGCAAAGTAACGAAGAAACTTACATTTAAAGTGACAATAAATAACCACTGAAGTTGTTTCAAGATAATAGTTTACGGTTGCGTTTTAACCCTTAGAACCAAGTAAGAAATGGAAGTTACTATATAATCATCAATCCAGAAAAGAGTGGACGCACTTCTTAACTCCAGAAAAAGGTAACAGAGTGATATTTTGTACTACAACTAGCTCTTGCAGATCTTTAAATAGTATAAAAAAGTCGCTTCCCGCCATCTGTACGTTTCGGTCTTTTAAACCACGTACTAAGAAGGTTTATATGTATAATACATGCGTATTATATATTATGTTTTTCTCCTGTCCGTGTATACGTGACCGAACTCCTCCTAAACGGCTGGATCGATTTTGATGAAATTTTGTGTATGTGATTAAGTTGATTAAAGAATGGTTTATATTTACAATAGGACCCGGTAGGTGGGGTTGAAGTCGAGATTCACTATAATAAACAGCTTTGATTAACATTATTCAAACATGTTTTTCTTTTTTTTTTTAAAGCTAGGGCTCATATCTGTGAATATAGAAGTTTTGAGGTTTTACTCACTGAACCGGAAATTAGACTTGTATAGAAATAGTACATTTGCTATACACTCGTAAAATAACTTTATTTTTTAACAATCTGGGAATGAAATGTTTTATAATGATTCTGTTCTTCAATGCACTTCATATATAATATATATTACTAGCTGACCAGGCAGACGTTGTTTTGCCCTTTCCGACGACCATGATGTCTCTTAAAAATTCTTAAATTCACAATAAAAAAAATTGAGGGTCACTTATCGGGATATAAATCTCTCAATTTGGACCAAACTGCACACATTGTGAAACATTTCATTGAAATCGGTTCAGTAGTTTAGGATTTCATCGCGGACAAACAATGTGACACTTAATTTTTATATATAAAGATTAAGGAACATTTAGTATAGCCACGCTTACACTTTTTACGTGAAAGTGCCACGCTGTTTTACGTGATAGAGCCACGCTGCAGCTATTTTATGATTGTAGCACGAATAGGTCAGCTCGACCGGGGTAGGAAAACGCTCTCACAAAATACCAGCGTAAAACAGCAGTTTGAATCTGCTATATTTCGCATGGTGACTGTAGAGGAACGAAGACTCTTTTTACTGGAAACCAGGCATATCATTTCAGTCCTTAGCAACCCTTATGCATTTCAATTCTTAATTGCTGACAAATGTAGGTGTTAATGGGCCACAGCATCTTACCACCCTTCATCTATAAAAAAAAAACTGGGTTTTATTTCTGACAGTAATATCTTACAGACCCCAACAAAAAATAAGCAGAATCGTACGAATAATAAAAGTGTGTGTATTACTTGAAGCAATAAATTATTGTAATTGTTGTAATTAAGTAGTAAGTTATTACAATATTGTTGGATTATCTCTTTTAAGTAAAAAGTTATCTGTAGCGGAAGGTCCCACTCTTCTGTAGTACAATTATAATTAAAACTAAAATTAAGTAATAAAGCTACTTAAATTAAAACCGCAAGTAAATTATAATTAATGTCAGTTACGTGTGCATGCGCGCGTGCGGGATGCGGCAGATGGAATGCCTAGTTTCTATTAAAATAGGTCCCCGGCTCTCTACACACAAAATACGAAAAACAGCAGCATTAAGCTGCTATTTTACGCTGGTATTCTGTGAGAACGTGGTCCTGCCCCGGTTGAGCCGTCCTATTCGTGCTATAAGCATGCTAAATCTGCACCATAGCTGTTCCACGTAAACAAGCATGCTAAAATAACAGCAATAAAACTGCTGATATAACAACCAACTTAAAATTAAAATTTTCTTTGTAATATTTAATCAAATATTTTTTTTTTATAAACGTGATAGAGGTTATATTGATATTTCAATTATTTTTTGTGTATGACAAGAACTAACTTAAACTAAAGTATAACAACCAACTTAAAATTAAAATTTTCTTTGTAATATTTAATCAAATATATATATATATATATATATATATATATATATATATATATATATATATATATATATATATATATAAAAGTATAACAACCAACTTAAAATTAAAATTTTCTTTGTAATATTTAATCAAATATTTTTTTTTATATAAACTTGATAGATGTTATATTGATATTTCAATTATTTTCTGTGTATGATATGATAAACACAGGTTTAGTTTCTAAAAAGCTAATACATTTTTTAATTTATGTCAAAGTAATATAACTATTAGCGATGTATAGAATTATCCAAGCTTCTGTGTAAATTAAAAAAAATATTTTAAACTATCATTTTAAGGTACATTTTACTTGTTTTCAAATAATAACATGTATAAGTTATATAAATATTAGGTACGATCATACTACGATATAATCGCAAACATTTCCATATAAGTACCTTGGAATTTAAAAAAAAGGTGTCACAAAACGTTTGCGCTGCTAAGATTGTAATTAGCATTTTCATCTGCCTGTTGTGATGTTATTGAAAATGATTACGTTGCTTTACATCGACTTATTTGTTCTGTATATCTCGATATGAAACGTTATTATTTATTTTCCGTTTAATATTGATTGAAATTTCATATCATTAGCTTTTAACTGTTATTATAATATTATAACATTATTTTCCATGAAAATGGTAGTCTTTTGACTTATTTGTGTAGATTATGAAAATGTTTGTTTCATATAAAGAGTTTGGAACTGAAATCCATGACTCCACGGCGCAGTGGCTTAGTAATGAGTTGCTGCGCTAGGGGCCGCGGGTTCGAATCCCGCACGGAACAAGTATTTGTATGACCTACAAATAATTGTTCCGGGTCTGGGTGTTTGTCCTTGTGCAATTTGTGTTTGTAAGCTGCCTCCAGGATACAGGAGAAAATCCTAGTGTGGGGTAATATTTCAAAAAAAAAAAAATTAATATATTTAATTTTTTTTCTTTAGACTTTAGATTCATTTAGACATTTTTGTATTTGTAATTCATAATGTAGAATGTAGATATAAATATGTGTTAAATGAGACAAAACTATCAGGATTGAAAAATTCTATACATTTTATTGCTAAGAAAAAATTTAATAATTTTTGGCCGATGGACCCGTGTAACACGGAATACACTAACTGTAAGTCATAATATTGTATCGTTATTTTTACATTTATTTCAGTGATAAGGCTGATTGCAATAACATGCAAATGATTGTTCCATACTGGTTAAATTGCGTAATTAAACACATCGACCACCAAATTTTTACTAATGAAAGCTTTATTCATACACCTGAAAAATTAAATAATATAGGCAAACCAAATACTTATCGAATAATAAGTTAACAAAATGTCTCTAAGATAACTAATATGATAAGTAATATGATAAGATATGCCCAACGTCAAAACAAAATATATAAAGCACCTTTTCACCAACAATGTTAAGCTCGGTACAACATTATTTTTATTTAAGGTTGAAAAATGTCTTTGTGTCACCTTCCATTAGGTAGAGCGTTTATCAGTTGCCTTCTTATGGTAAAGAAGTTTTTCGTAGGATTACGTAACCTTTTTTTACGATGGTACAATTTTTTTAAGAAATATTCATTTATTTACACAACATTAAAATATACAATATTTTTCACCATAACAAAAATAATAAAAACTAAAACTTAAATTATCATATAGTCCTGCTCCCCGCGGCATATTACCCATAACGTTGGCTGCATTTCCTCACTGAATATATTTGAGCCACCATAGCATTTAAGCGAGAAAAAAATCAGCCCTCCTATCACCAACGTCGACGACAAGTCGCAGATATAGTTCCTTTAAGAACTTCACCGCACGAGGTAAATGACACAAACATGCAGTCATCTTTCAAATAATGATACTTGCGTCACTTACTCAGTTAAGCTGCCTCTGAAGTCGCCGCTGTTCTAATAAAGAATATACCTGAGGTTGCCAATGTGTCTACGCACGTACATCCCACACTAGATAATTGAATATATTATGCGAGGCACAACTATTTTAAACAATAATACAAATAAAAGTTTTGCCATTTTTTTAAAGCTTGTTTTTAATTTGCACGTTTTAATTACGTGTTACCATAAGATACTATAATAGTTTAAAGTACTCAAAGTTCTTCAAGTTTAACCCAAACACGTATAGAAGTTTATCAATTGATATAATAAACTAAGGGTTTGTCAATGACAAAAAAAGAAATTTAAATAATATATAACTAGTATTCGTCTTAAAGCTGGGCATAAGTCTCTTTCCATTTCGGAGAGTGTTAAATAACAATTAGTCCGCTGCGCTGATTTACTCAAAATTTTCATCAATTTTATCAAGAAATGTATTTGTTTAAATATAAAAGTTAAACAAGTACATGTATTAATGCGAATCATATATTATGAAGATTAGGTTTCACCAAGTAACAAAAAACGACATTATACATTTTAGACTTAAGTATTGGTTAAAATTGTAATTAACAATATCATTGGTACTGGCGAATATCGAACCTGGGCTGCTCGCGAACCATGAAATTTAGGACGAGCACTAAGCTCTTGAACTACCATGGCTAAAAAAATTTAATAAATGGGAGAGTGGATATGATGAAAGGATAATAAATAATGGATGTGGTTATGATTTGATCTGTTCTCACTATAAATTTTCCTTAATTTAATTGTAAGTAT